CTGGACGTGAAAACCAGTGTTCTTCTGATATGATCTCTGTCTTTTGCTCTTGTACCGTCCCGTGGTTACCCAGGCGTTCCAGTTTAGTTCAAAGTGAAGAGAAGATAGACCAGGTTCAACATCATTTTTTAAAGTCCTGTATAGCGCAATTAAATCTCCTCCCTATCTGCGGCTCGAGAAAAAGGCAAGGTTAGGCCCTTGAAGTTGTTCTTCGCATACCAAGTTAACCATCGCAGGGAGGACACAAGTTATCATCCTTTGAGCTTTTTAAAGAATATCTGAATCACTTTTCAGATGACTATCTGCAGCTCGTGGACAGTTTTTGAACTAGGGATGGTTATAGGATGAACATATTGTCCAATATTTCAGTGGAAATTCTGCATAATGCAAAAAGTATCTCAAAAGGCAGGGCTGAGATAATGTGGTAGTATGCTTCGGTTTCTGACCCGTGACTGGCCGTCTCCCAGGTTATTATTGGTCACCACTAAGGATAGAGGAATACCACACACGTCGTAGATGTTGTCGTCTGCATAAACAATGTACAGTTTCACAAACTTACCTACGTAAATAGGCGTCAGCCACTTCTCTGACCACGTTGATGAACCACTTACGTTTGCTCGAGGCGTACGTAGATCTTACTCACCCTTAATTTTTAGCCAGATGTTTACATCACCAGAATGAAGAACCACGAAACATTTCTTGTGACTCAGTAGCTCACCCATGTAGAAGCGTAAAGCATGGGACCAGTTCACCGTGTACCGACTTCGAGATTAAGAGTTGAGGATTGGTCTCTACTCTCTGTCTCCTTCAATCAAGGACTTTCCGATCCATGAGGGTAGATCACTCGTAATTGCGAACCTTCATAGTTTCATGAGAAACCTCTAATAGATATATAGATAAATGTTTCATTTTCACATTGGTAAATTGAGATGAGAGAAGCCAGTTTACATGGGTCACCACATTCATACACGTCAAAAAATCTACAAGACTTTACAAGTACTGGATGGCGCAGGCGGAATGTCAATAAACTCTATCAAAAACCGCAGAAGATCCTGACAGTTACGGAAAGAACAAGAAAATATCACTTTTCAGCGCATACAGTGCTATTGTTTAGATAATAATAAACATTTTCTTTATATGGTGGTTTTAACAAGACGGATACCAGTTTATAAGCACAGTCAAATTGATGATAATGAAAGCTTCCAAAGTGGCACTTGGTATTCAATAATTAATATACTAAGTAACCGATGTGCATAATCTTATTAAAACTTGCTGAAACTCATGAGACGGCCACGGACTTTCATCTCTCATTACACAGACAGGTTCTCCTATTAGGAAGAAAAGAGCCCAGTCCTCGAAGTTTGCTTTATGACAAACCGACATTGTAAGCCTATTCACACAGTTTGTCATTTAGTAATACAGCAGTCTGTTCTTCAGAAGGTTCTTCAGTTCTTAGCTCTGCTAACCACAAAGCACTCATCTACACAATCTAGACTATCGACAAGGTATCCGCAACTATATAACCAAAGTGAGCGTCTAAATCAAAGCATTTCCAGGTCACAATGTTCCATTTAAAGGCAACAGACTAACTTCACCAAGAATATTTGTTGTATTGGATGGAAATAGGCGTTGAAACGGTCAATGGTCCTAATGGCAGTATTTATGCGTAGACTTCGAGTATCTTTTGTATTAGCGTAGGCAGCATCATTCTAGAAGCGTATTTGATGCATATTAACGGTCATATGAAAAGATCACTTGATACAGAATACTATAAATATGTACTGTGGAGCTACTGCAGGTGAGTCGTGTTCCGACCCAACAGGTAAATTGGTCTCTGGCTTGGTCGTCTGTTCAGAATATCTCTGCTACTAACACTGCTAAGGAGGCTTAGTCAGTTCGTCGCAGGAAATTGAGACCAGTAGGTGAGTTGAGCGTGAAGATGGTCCAAAATTCGCCAAAGAGCGAGAGCAGCACAACAATTACTGGCGCTAGTGTGCGAGTATTATCTCCACAGCGTCAAGTGTCACTATGGAGCTGCTGCTGCAAATAGGAAAAGAAAGAAGAAGAATGGGCATATATGGAAAAAAATTAACGCGCCATCCAATTTGAAGAAGAGAGAAGTGCCTTATTGGGCACCTTAACGAAGTCTACGAGAGTGAAATCTGTACGCTTCCTATCGTCTTTGGGCTTATCTTTACCCCACTGTAAGCAAGTTTTGTCAAACAATGGAAACTACCACAAAAGCCATTTTGCGAACGGAACGGTAGTGAGGTGCCTTTCTGTTGACTGCAGTGACCTATCGGATACTCTTTCTGAGATTTTTACAACAGCATTGGTCAGGGTTATCAGTCTATAGCTTGATAGGTGCTGCATAGAAGGTATCTTGCGGAGGGGTGTGACCATGGTATCCTTCTAATCACATGGAAGTCAATGAGGCAGCTGAGTAGAGCAGTTGAAGGCGCAGCTGATTTGATCTTGTGAAGCCATGGATATGCAGAGTACCTAATATTCTAAATACATCATTGTGACCAATGCCCAGTTCGTTTATTCCGTTAGGCGCTGATGTGCTGTTCAAATTATGTTCGTTGAATATTCCTAGGCGAGGGTCCAGGCAAAATATTGGTCATTACCCGCCCTTATCCTTATCATTTCCGGTTAACCGGGTGTTTTCTCTTTCTTTGATCGGGGCAGAGATACAATGGCATGTCCGCTGCCATTGGTCATGTCAGAAAATGACCTTGTCGAGTGTTCTACTGTGGCCAGCGTGAGACGAGGTCAGAAACGTTCAGTACTGGCGTAAGGCAGCGATGTATATATTCGCGGTTACTTGAGATACTTCTTCACCCATGGATTCCAAAGACTACTAACACATGATGTGCCCACATATTCAGGAATATATATATATATATATATGCCTTGGCTTCTCCCTGCGTCGTGGTGGACCTTGGATCTTACTTTCTGTGTACGGGTGGCAGTGCCTTCGTCGCTTCCAAACAGTTTATGCGGTAACCGGCTGAGTGACTGCAGCACCCAGCTACCTGAAGAAGCTCTATGTGGCCTAACGCGCGGATTTCTGGATTGACCCTCTAGCCTTTAAGAGGGGCTGTTGAGTCGATAGTTGCTACGTTTGTTTTTCTCATATAGGATTTAGCTGATATGTCTTCCTAGCACGGTATGGACTCCGCGAATCTGGAAGTGATCACAATGTGATCAACTTTACCAGTGGGTCCGAGGTGCCGGATGAAGTTTACGCGAAAGTAACACTTAGCCTAGCATTGATGGGGTATACTGATATTACGTTTCTGCGTGAAAGTTGGGGAAATCGGCGTTTTCCTTAACTCGCGACCAAACGGGTTACTTGATGATTCTGTTGTTAGGCTGTCCGAAGCAGATATTATGATACTTAATTCCCCTATAACTAAAGATCTGCATTCATCTGCTCAATGCGGTTAATTGTTCAGAAAGATGTCATACACCTCACATCTAATTCTGCCATACACTGCGACTAGTTTCACATCATGTGGATCGGCAACGCAGCACCGCACATATCCCACGCCGATGTGCAGTCGTTTAAGTGGCTCTTAGGGATAAGGTTCCAGCACTTAAAAAGTAACACTACCATCTATGTGCGTTCATCTTTCCCTGAGAAAAATAACACTTCCTCCTGAACTTGTTTCACTACGGTTAATTTCGAAAGGCGGTCACACTTCTGAGGTAGCGGTTATGTCGGGGCTTTCTGCCTCTGTTAAATCTTGTAGCTCGATCTGTTTATTCGGTAGACTACGAGCACTTTTGCGTGGAAGGATGAAATTGCTTGAATGAATTTCCATCCTATGCGTATAGGCTACGGCGCATTTTGTTTTCTAAACCCCACTCATAGTTTGCGCCATAACAGAACAACGTAGTCCTTGGAACTCACCTAGTGTACCCACTAATGGGCTAAGATAAAGGTTACATCCGACTTCTTTTCTCACAGAGTGTGCGTGTGACGGACTGCTCAGGCAAAAGACGTAGTCAAACCCCCCAGCCTGATACCTTCAACTGAATGTCAGGGAAAAACATGGGCACATACTGATTACCGACAGCATGGGATAGTAGCGACTGATAACATGGTTATTTATCCACCGGCTGCTCCACCCTACAGCATACACTTTCTATCCTGCCCCTCCTGTATTTTACTCCCACCGCCTTCATTCTCCATTTGTCGTCTACCCGCCTCTCCACTCTTTCTTTACGCTCTTCAAACCCACAACTGACCAACAACGCTCTAATATTTACTTTCAGATATCCTGGTACACAGGAGTCACTTGTCGCCAGTGGCCCTCAGGTGCATCCAGCAACTAGGTTGCACTATGCACAAGAAAACCTGTAAGCAGATTCACTGCCTCCCAAGCTATGATCAACTAAACGCAAAATATTTATGTGGCTGTAGAAGGAATACGATGAAAACCCAAGACCCGAAAACCAAATTCCAGAAATTATCAGTTTCCCATACCCTTAGGAGTCGTGCTGGAGCTGGTTGCAACAAAGGCAACTTGACAGATCTAAAGGACTCATTCCGTGTTCTTCCTAAAGATTCTCGAAGGTGCTTCCTGCACATTAATAGCCCTTACATTTGCACACCCATTTATTATAGGCTAAGAAAAGTCTTTCCCCGCGCTGGGTGAATAGAGAAGGCCTTGATTACACATTCTTTCATTTCGCCAAGCCCATAATTCATCTTTTCAATAAACCACTTTTCAGTACATCCATCAGTTGGATGCAGAGTTCAATAAATAGTTTTTATCCAATACCCAACGAGCATGCGTAAACCAGTTGATTTCTTCTTGTACACTTCTTGGTTTTGTTAACTTTACCCCATCATAAATATATGAATTATTTTGAGCATCATCTAAATGCACATGGAAATTCACTAGAACAGAGGAGGTTTTGTTTTAGTGTGTAAGAACGAAGGTTGTCTAACGGGTTTGACGTCGCGAACTTTGACGTAGTTTTCGTAGATGTGTCCTCAACTTGGCATTACCGCTCAGGAACATCCTCGGTTTAGGCGTCTCCATTCGAATTTTGGGTTAATAACATGCTTTACTTTATCTATTTGTTCTGCTGCCTACATGTACAAAATGTTGGATGAGATTATTTCTGATTTTGACGCGGAAGTCGATGATTTAGCCGAAAATACTGATGAGAAGCGAAGTCGACTGAACAGTTCCGAACTGAAAGCCGTTTTGGATCAGCGTGGCGTCCTGTACTCATCTTTGCTGGAACGTAGAGATGTAGAGTTTGCAGTAAACTCAACAGGTGGGTTAGCCTGGACTATCGAAAATGGGGAAATAAAGGGTGTGAATAAAGAAATTATCGGGCAGTCCGTAATAATTAATACTTCTACTAAAACGTTTGAGAAGGCATCAGCTCACCAAGTAGGCGTAATATATATTTCATATTTTGGAAGCTTTAATACATATTACAACACTTTGAATAAGCAAATAATAATAATAGGTTCAGTAATTTAATACATTTCCCATATATGGACTATACACTGAGTTACTCAACCTGTTGTGATTACTTACTCATTCGAAGTGCTTGTAATATATATTAAAGGTCCCGAAATATTAAATATATTTACGCCTACTTGATGGCTTTCTCAAACGTTTTAATCGAAGTATCAATTATAATGGATTCCTCCATTAACCCTTTCCTTCCGTCATTTTTTAGCTTGAGTGATTTTTCTATAAATATTACGTACTACGTTTTCATGCCTGATTGTTTCTCAGTATTCTTAAAAACACTGAAGCAAATGGTAAAGATGTTGAGTGAAATTCTCACTTGTGTAAAGTACTTCAAATGATATGAAAGCAGTAGTGTCACTGTGACTTATATGCTCTCAGTGACAACACTAGTATGTTAGGTGTATCTTTGCTTTCGTTTATTATCTGCTAGTTTCGCCGCATTTCCTCACATGGTATTGATATCTCCTCAATACATTATTGTGTTTCACCTTTCTTGGTGCCTATTTGGTAGCGACTTTTATTCCTAATAAAAGTCGTAACATCATATGTTCCGCTTCGTTGGAATCTCTTGATAAAAAGCCTATACGGTAATCGTCTGCAATAGTCACCTTATGCGTAAATTATGTGTGGTCATGGAGTTATGCCAATGTTTCAACTTTCCGATACATACATGTCGATTGGACGTTCCCTAAAAGTGTTCTCTTTAACATGTGATCGCTTCTTAGTTATTTAAAGTATTTGTGAGTTTTAACTTAAGCAGAATAAGTGTGTAGTCACAGTTGACTGGGTCAAAATGACCGCACTTACCGAATAAACACAGTTGTCCAAGAAACATCCTTGGGGATAGTGACATGTACTTAGGTGACAGGTTTTGACTATACGAGTATTACTCTCTAACTAGTAACTGGGCTTCAACAATATTCCAGTGTTGGATTTCTTAACCGTAGACTGCTACCTATGTCGACTTTCATCATTTGTAGTACAGGGGCTGCAGTAAGAAAATCTGATACGCTATGTAAACACTCAACTTCGGAGATCACTCATATGTTTCCCAACCTAGTTCCCTCTCTAGCATATGCGTTTTGAATAGATGGTTTGGCAGAGGTATCTGACTTAACGGGAGAACAACTCAAAATGAGATGAAATCCATGTTTATTTACCTTTCTACAGTTGTTCACTTCAAACCTTCGCTACTGCTTTCCTTGTCACTATATTATATTTCGTTTGGTGTATATCTTGTTATTCTTTTGTGCTCCATTTTGTTTTGAAAACCTATCAATAAGTAGACGCTGATATAATTTAACGTAGGTTTTTTGTAAACTGTAAACCGATTATCCTTGAACGAGTTTGGGTGATATGTAACAGCTGATTAATGTTGCTGTTTTTAAAACCCTACGCCGATGTTCTTAAACCATTTGGCACTGCCAGGATTGTAAACCTCGTAGCCCTCTTTATACACCTATGTGACCATCTGGAATTACTTCACCATATCCTACTTAGTATTTCAACTGCGCTTACCACTTTTTACATATCTGATTCTTAGCGGTGTGAAATACATTCAAAATCAGCATAAAACAAAATCAAAGGCTGCAAAAGCTCTTACTTTCCCGTTATAGATGTGTGATCAAGTGTACATTATTGAAATAGCATTTTCAAGGAATTTAAAAAATTTGGTACAATGTAATTATTTTGCATTCACCAGGGACGTTTTTAGTTATCACTGTTCCCTCTATATGAAACATTGTGTGCTTTCTGAGCTGACTGATCTAAAGTCAATGTCTTCACCTTCACCCGAGGTGAATAACGTACAAAGCTATTTGCTTGTTAAGAATAGTAAAGCATGATCAAGTAATGAACTTTCTCATGGAAATTATCTTGTTTTTATAATCGTTATTCCCAGTACTGTTTGAACACTCATTTGTGTCGCATCAAAAAATTCCCATTGTTTGGTCATACACAACTAATTTATGTACACGAAGTCAATTAATTAGTTATTTCGTTACTTTAGGTCTCATAACTTCAAGTGAGCTCAAAACTGCAGAAGCCAAACAGTTAGAACTTGTAAATATGAACTTTTCCAACAGTCCAGATGCATTTCTCTATCGGAAATTAATAAACCCAGTTCATCAGTCTTTGAACTCGAACCGCTTGTCATCCAGTTTCACACCCATTAGCATTATATTTGATAGTGAATCCGAATTTATCGAACATGTTGAGGACAAAAAAGATAGCGTGTGGCTTTTAGCTGTGGCTTCTCCACGATCAGTTGAAAATGGGGACAGAATTCCATCCAAAATTAAACCCACATCAGTTGTTAGTGAAGAAGTTTGGGCTGTTTTAAATCATCGATATCAGTCATTCGGTTTCAAAATGGGTCTACTGAACTGCAAAAAGCTCCATAGGTAAGAATCTGTTACTTTTCGAAGAGTGGGAATGAGCATTGAAATATTTTTGATTGTCACTATATTTCATTTGTACTTATTTTGTGGATCTGTACTCTGTCATCCTATTATTTTTAAGGGTTAATTTTCCCAAATGTTTTCATACTTTTGTTAGTCGGTGTATGTCAATCAGGTTTTATTTTCTAAAGGTCTCAATATCCTGTCTTTATTTTGTTTTTATTCATCAATTTTTTGTTGCTTTGGATAATCTTAAAAATTTAAAAATGCTTATGTGCTCTGCTATGAGCCATATATTGAGAGCTTATGATACCACCCGAGGCTGAAATAAGATGATCAGAGTTTGAACCTGAGAGATGATCTACACACGGAACCTGTAGCTACATATGTCAAAAGTGACAAACAGTCGGTCGTGACTACATGTCGGCTAATGATGGGTATCTTATATAAGTAACGGGACTAATCTGCATAAGATGAGCCCTAATCTAATAGTGAAACGTATCATGGTTACCAAAAAAGGATTTTGAAAACTGCTTTAGTTGAACTAGTGAAGAAATGCGTACATTCATAAACAATATTCGACAGTATCACCATTATCAAAAGTTGGAGGAGAGGTTACTGCTCATTCTCAGGAAGCAAGCTGTCTAAACCTGTGGGTATTTCCCCTTAAGCAGGGATATTGACTGTTATATCAAAAATAGCAAGGACTTAAAAAGGTGAGGTGTGAACGTTTTTCCACAAGTAAATCAGCAGGTTGTCCCGATTATTTTGCTCATTTTTGAATTGTTTCGATGTATTCTGTAACTCTACGTTGATCGGTGGCTGCAGAGCAGTCAATCTCATATCGTCTAGTTCTGAATGCTGACCGAATTCCATAAATCATTTTGTAATATGACCACCAAGTTAGAAGGCTAAGTGTAGCGGTACACTTCAGTAGATGTTATTTGGTAGAAAGCAATCAACAGGAAACCTGGGTTTCATGCTTGCTGGAACTCGTCAGGAAGTATATCTGCACCATCAAGGGAACTGCTCAATAGAATTCGGTCCTCACTCAGGACTGAACAAACTGAAATTGGTTACTCTCCAGTGACAAATCAGAGTGTTTAACCTAGTCTTTCTGGACGTCAACCGCCACCTGAATTGCTCAATGGTAACGTTGCGAACTTCAACAGTGGGTGACGTGGGTACGAATTTCAGAGGGGACATCACATCGATTGTCGCCAACCAACTAATATCCATAACTTTTTGTCTCATTTTTTTCCCCTGGGTGGTAGACTGAATCTATGTTTACATACTCATAGATTGCTGACTAACCTAGGTTTCAAGCTTTTAGGTAGGTGAATATTTGTTTTGAGGAAGTCCTGAATTTTGAATCGAGTGCTGGTTTACTGAACTTTAGCTTATTCTTAACCTTTCACCTGACGGTCCTGTGAGTGTGTGTATAATTAACCGATAGACGTGAAATATTGAATCAAAATTATTAAATTTTTGGTTACAGCCGCTGCACTGCTAGAATAACTCGTCACTTCACACACGCTGTACATTCACTAAAAGTGAAGTTAACTGTTTGCTGGTGAGGTTCAGAAGTAATGGTTCACTGGTGTAAGCACTCGAATTCCAACCAGTGGGCTACAGGACCGAACCCGGTGCCAACTACTGATCTCGGCAACCAGGTAGTATCGTTAGCCTTCATACAATGGGTGTGGTTCATTGCTTACCACAGAAACGTGCAAATCGTTTTTAGATGCGTTTTAATCAATTCGGTTGGGATTCAGAATATATATATATATATATATATATATATATATATATATATATATAATATTGTTAACAGAATTTTATTTGAAAAATGTAGTTACTTTCAACTCTCCTTTTTTTTCTACATCGATACATGAAAATATTTAACGTAGAACCTCCACTTGCTGTTCATACGAACAACCATGGAAAAGACTTCTATTGTATTTGGTGTAGTATTCTTCACAATTTAATTTAGTAATAGGATTTCACTAGGTACACGTTTTTCTTCTTCTGACTTGAGTAATATATCCCGAAAGGACATTTTAATATGGATCCAAAGATGACTTAAGTCTTCTGTAAAAGAATCTACTTTTGTTTCATGATATGTTAGCTACTGTAAGTAATTGGATGGTGTGTTAAGTCTATTTTGCATTTAGGTGGTCACCACAATTATTCTTCTTAGTAGTTTGACGTAAGCTAATTGCTTGATCCCCGTAATACAACTAAGTGCTGAAATGAGATGGATTCGAAGCTACTTATTGAACTTCTCAAATGTAGATACTGACTTAACGTACAAGGCATCATTTAAATGTGAATAAAGGTGCTTACAGCTTCGAAGAACGTCCCGCCAATGAATACTTGGTTTCTGTGCGACTCACAAATTTTGTCGCTTGTTGATCTATTCCAACTGACAGTAAGTGCATGATATGTATACGTCCCTTGTGTGACATCAGGCAATGTTTGCCTAAGGACTACAAGAATCGGTGGTCAACATACCGGTAAGATGGAACCATCAGATGTATCTGCCAATATTCAGCAGCCGCTCTAGCCCATTCGAGTCAACAATTCTGGTATTAGTGAAACATTCTGTGATACGCCAATCCATAAACTTTGTAGGTGTCTAAAAAACCAGATGGGGCACTTCGAAAAACAGTTTACCTGGCGTACATTTCAAGCAACATAGATTGAGTGACTTGTTCTCCGTAGTCCGTTAACAGCAACTCACCTAACAAAGTGGAAGTTCGAAAGAAACCCGAAACACTAAACCACCATAAGATACCTAGTCCAAACAACTTACCCCTGGCTCTTCTTAAGGATCAAGGTGATGCTATTCAAGGGACTAACTATATGTTTTGAGAACGTATGAAAAACTGTGTTCCGTCACTTTGAAATAAGGTCATTGTTGTACCCACCTCTAAAAACGGTCTAGTTTACACATGTGATAATCAAAGTATATGGTATTAGTCTGCTACCAGTAACATCTAAAATACTGGCTTTTATCATTCATCACAGGCTGTGCAAAATGCGTGACAAACTTGTCCATGCTGAGCATATCAGGTCGTGGATTTTATTGATCAAGTGTCCGCTGGATGCTCAAACACGTCACACATAATGCAGGTCAACAATTGTTGTGTTTCTTTATATTAAGGCTACCTTCAATTCGTTGGACTGGGTGCACTGTGTAATTTCGTATAAAAGACAATTGTCTTCAAAGCTTTTTTACATCTTGGAGGCTCTACACAAAGACACCTCAAGTAGTTTGAAGGCACACAATCATCTCTCTTCGTTGTTCTAAACTAACATGCTTTAACCAGGGATGCCCGGTGTTTTCAATCCTCCTTAACTTCACCACTAGTGAACTTCTGGAGATAACCCTGAAGGACGTGTGTAGTGGTTTTTTAGACCCGTTACTAGATGAAAACTTCCCGACCTCAAGTATGCTGACTACATCGCTTTCCTGTACGGCAACTTTCCCGCCACTTAAATCATAGTCAGAGATGTATATATTCTAGTATAGCATATGCTTCACAACGTCGAGCACAAAACGCCTCTACAGGATTGACATGAGCCTGTAGCTGCGCTAACCGTTGATGGTGAACCACTGGAAGTAGTTGAAAAGTTTTTGTATCTGCGTACTTGTGTGAATGCTGGTGAAAATGTGGCTCATGAGATTTTTAACTGTATTTCAAAAGCTGGAATAACATACACCAGTCTGGATTATTTTTGCTGTAGCTGTGATGTTAGTGATGTTGTAAACCATGACCTTTCCTTACTGAGAGTGTTCGATTGTTCTGTATAGTCGGTCTCTGTAGTAGAGCTACAGTAGAGTGGAAGAACTATGTAACTACTTCTGCAGGGTAGCACATGTTTGAGTCTAAAGGTGATCGTCATTCACTGGGTGAGGTCATCCTTGGAACATGGCCATTTGTTACCAATGTCTTCCCAGTGGCTCCCATATCGTTCATTGTTTACTAGCACCAAGATTTTCGTTGAACCAAAGCCATGTCGTAATATGCAATCTAGTGAAACTGGTCAGATTCAAACATTGAAGTTTTGTGATCCCTATAAAATGTATTGTTGTCGGGTAGAAAATAAAGCGTTATTGTTTGTGTGTGTGAGTTCACTTGTGATCACTGGGTCTGTAATATCAAAAGGTATCATCATTTCGTTGTTGTAAGGTTGAATATCTTCAGTCTTTCCGAAAACTATGTTTGAGACTTGATACATCGGTTACACAATTCCACCGAATGTTAAAGTGGAGTATGTACCGGTTGGTATACATTTTTAGTAGCTTACCGCTCTTCATAATGCATTCTGATATAACTGCTTCTGTGCTGCATCAATAAACCACCTACTTATTGCCACTTTTTCGGTTTGACAAAAAAAAACAACGCAAATAGGTTGTATGGTGACCAAATGTTCAACAGAACTCTTATTATACTGACTGAGCGTGATCATTTTAACACTTTACTGTTTTATTGATAAATCCGTCAAAACTGATAGGACTACTTGTCTAGCGTGTTGCGACTGAAATTAAAAGAATTGTTTTTTGTTTTTCAGCCTGTGTATCGACCGTGGTTTCATTAATCCAGACCTTATTCTTGCCTTACCCAAGGGTGGTGAACGTATGAAAGATATGGTACAATTCCGGCCCTTACCGAAAGAACCAAAATCTAAGATAAATGCGGATAAAAAATCAAGTAAATACATCTTGGATGGTATTCATTCATGGATTGTCTCAGTGTTAGCAGAACGTGTGAAAGTGTTAAAAGATGTACGTAGCATTTATCCAGTCAGCTCTGTTGATCAAACAATGAAAAATCATTATTTAAAACATCTATGGTCATCATGGTTATCTAAAAGACCACAACCAATACATGTTTTATGGTTTCCAGAGTTGTCTTCCAAGTCCAAATTAGCTCATCCGTATCAACCACCACTAGTATTAAGCGCACTTTCTGTTACATATACCGGTCGAGTTCGGTTTTGGTCTGTACCAAATGATTTAATCAATCAAGAATACAGAACTTTCACTGCTAATGCTGATAACTGGCCTGTTACCACTTCATACATTACTACAGTTCACAACCTGTTGACATCTTTGAATTGTCCTAATAAATGTCACTTTTTAATTTTAACACCAGAGGGGAGATGTTATCCGTTTGGCTTAAACAAAAAAGAATTCTTGAGTTATGAAAACCTTGAAATACTATTACGTTCACTGTATCCTTCAGCTGATGATTTTCTTTTGATGCTTTTATTCATCACTAGTCTTTTGGTTTTTATAAATGGTGCTATTGAAGCTGGACGGATATCATTTATTCTTACACATTCATTCAGTGAAAACAATCGAAATAATAATCTTCCTGAAAGGAATTATAGTAACAATCGTCCCTCTGTTACACGTCGCTCAGCTTTAGCTAGAACTGTGATTAGACTAGCTCGCCAAGGATGGACATCACATGTTCCTAGTTTCATTATTGATCATCACTCAATGTACAACAGATCAAATGATAATTCTTACCGTTCAACTAATCACAATCACTGGAATCCTGGGGACCAACTGAATATTTCACCTTCTCAGCAACCAATAAATATGAAATTGCTTATATTATCTCATATTTTAGAATGGATAAAAATATTTCTTCTTGATCTAGTCTCAGCTTGCATTCTTCTCCTGTTAGCTATATTACCAATAATAAATATATTGAGTTTATCTTATTCTATGCCTATTGTTAATTTAGGTCTTTCATTTCTAAGGTCATTCGCTTTATCCGCCCCTATAGTCAAATTACGCTTATCTATCCTATCAGGTCATTTGAATTGGTCTAACCTGTTTTCATTTATTCTTACCTTCTGGTTCTTCTTAGTGGTTTCATCAAACAGCATTTACTGTCTAATGCTGAAATATAAAAAGACTAATAGTAATAACAATATGCCTAGAAGTTCATATTCTCGACGTCTTAATCGACTGGATCCTGTCTTAGTTCGAGAACGCCTTAATCAAATATCACCTGATCAACTGTGGAATGAATTATCTCGTTTAATTATCCAGTCGGATATTGAATTAAAATCCGGTTCAGCAGATTCTACAACATCAAGTACATTAGAATCAGATCACCATCATCGTCACTATGATCTTCAAATGTGTAACGATGAAACCAAGTCTGTCGGTAAACAAATTCCATTAACTGTCGAAACATTAAAACAAGTGGCAAATAATCCTGAAGAAAACATGGAAGTTGTAGAAGGTAATCGTTTATTACGTAGATTACGCAGGCTTTATCACATTCTTAGCCAACAAACAAGTCATTTAACATCGACTTCAATGGATCCAGTTGCTTCCTTCACATCATTAGATTCATATTATCAAGGGGGTAGAGAAAATGAGGAATCAAATCGCATCACTGCAGCACATATGTATACTTGGAATTGTTTAAGTTCACTTGACAACAGCAATAATAATATCAAGTCTCGTTCTGGTGTAAATCCCGACCGGTATCATTTACACGCAAGGAAATCATTTCCTAATCCCAAACCAATTGCTACTAATGCAACGATAAGAACTATGAAGCTGAAGATGAGTGTGAAGATACAAGCGATGATGATAGTGATTATCGGAAATCTTCATCTCTTGCCAAAAGAAGGTATCGAAATCGTCGTCGTTCAGGTGTATTACATCCGACGACTACTTCCTCACAATCAGATTTAGATAGTACTGATCATGAAGCATATCAAACCAGTCGTTTCGCTCATTCGCGTAAAACTCAATGTAACACTTTAATGTCAGGTGGTTGTATATCACCTACTTCTTCTACATCATCTGTGTCATCTAATGATGTCAACTGTATGATTTCTTCAAATGATTGGCCTTCTTGGGTTGTACCATGTAAAGAGTGCGTTGTATGTTGGCAAAAATTTCGTTCAGGTGTAAGACTTAGTGCACTACCATGCGGCCATGGGTTTCATGAACATTGTATTCGAAAATGGTTAGATACTGGCGCATTCGATTGTCCAGTATGCCGTTGGCCAGCGTATGCACCTCATTTACGTCAACAGTGTCAAATGATTGAACAATTAATTAGTGCTGTACAAAAGACTGTCAATTTCGCAAAGCATTCTAAAAAATAGAAGCACTGATAATCAAAGGCATTCATACATAGAATTACAGGTAACTGGTGACCAACTGGTTGATCATTCTATTTTCAAAGAAGTATTTGTTGTAATAACTTTGTTCCCTTGTTGTTTACTAATTGTACAGATTTCCTCTTTTCAATGAATCTAAAAATACCTTTCCTAATATAATCTTGTTTTTCTTTCTGAAAATAAAGGTGTGTGTCTGTTCGAGTTAGTAATTATTACACAATATTTGACTCAGTAAATGCTTATTGTTGTTGGATGAAGTCATATTATGGTATCTCAGTAGATGAAACATTTGATTGTAAAATATGTACTCTCAAATTCAAACACACTGCTTCTTTTGTTGGAGCAGCTGAATAGTATTGTTGATCGCCATACATTGGCACTCTATGCCTTAGCCTAACACACAACTGTACAAATCCAGATTGGACTTTACTGACATAAGTCATATTTGCTTGACACAAAGTATGCTGATTAAGAATGTTTGATGTTGGTGACATTTTGTTTACTAAATACCTAAGTTAAATTACGCGCAAAGAATATCTTGAGATTTTTGGTATGGTTTAGTCTGTATTGCCATACGTATTTATCCTTTAGTTTATATTTTGTTTGCTTTGCATGAGAGGAAAACATAGAACAGATAGTCAAAGTTTTATAAGTTCATGAGCTAGTAATTCATTTTAATAAACGAACGAGTTTACAATCTATGAACTCATGTGACTAGTATTTTGACCTAAAACCCCAATATGCAAGTGACATTTTACTTAATCTTCAAACTGAGATATTCGAATTCAGTTGAATAGAGGATTGAACAACAGGCTTCGTTAGGCGTCAGCTTAACACGTAAATTTACCAATTTTAAGGATCTAGGAGTTAAGTGGCGGCAACAATCTAGTTAGTCTCGGACTATTGGCTTAAGCCATTTAGGAAAATGTAGGCTCTACAGTTTGGGTATGCTAGATATCCGAAATTTAGCAATGAAAATTCTAGGTAAAACAGCGCAAAGCTATCTCAGTAATGCACTTGTATTTCCTCGTGAAACCCTTGCAGCAACCTTGTACACATTCGTGCGGTACGCAATAAGTCACATCTATTGTGTGAGGGTTAATGATACTACCTGATTGTTTAAACCTCGGTAGGCGGTAAGATGTTCGAACCTGTAACTCACTGTTTGAAAGTCAACTTCCTAAATCAGTGAGCTACAGATCCACACATGCATTTACAACTTATTTTCATCTAAATTACAACATTATATGGTTATTTCCCCTATTTTTTAGGTTTTCCGTAGGAAATTTTCAGACAGTATTATTGTTTCCACTCCCCTGAATTTCTGCTTATTGGCTTCCACTTTTATGAAAAACTTGACAACTTCGGAAGCTAGGCAGTTATATGGAGTCCTATATTATTTATATCTGTCTCTCTATTCATTAGTTATTCACTGATCTCAATCTGAATAGTCCACCAGTGTTTCAATACACTATTGATGATGAAACCAATAATCAGTCCCATTATTCTGGCATAAGCACCAGCTGAAATCTGCAAGTAGTACTTCACGTTCTATTTTAGTCTATTTATTAGAAACGTCACGCAGTGAAACAGTATCGTTTTCTGGATAACGTTTCGGAAACAATTTATTGTCCACATTTATGTTAGGTAACTCCACAACTTCGAGACATAGTTTATATATTCCTAATTTTCTCTCCTTCTTTGTGATGACAAGGGTAGTAAAGTTTTACATATATCTTGGACAGGTGCAGAATGGTTTCATTGTGACATTTCTAATTTATTACTTATTTATTTATTTTTCCCTCTGGTTCCTAGTGGAACATAGGGCTTCAGTAGCATGCCTCCATTGCACTTTCTTCTCCGCAGTCCTTTCAACCTGGCTCCACGTTTGCCCATTAGCTTTCATTTCTTCCTAACACCATCTCCTTCATGTCACCCTTAACTTGGACGCCCAACTCGTCGTTTTCCATGCGGGTTCCAGTCGACGGCCTGGCCTGGGATGTGACGTCCCCAACCGGTCTTCTCAGTATATGCGCAATCCATCTCCACTTCCTTCTGCATATTTGTTGGGTGATGGGTTCTTGGTTGGTTCGTTCTCAGCCAGCCAGAGTTCCTTGTTGCTTATTCTTTCTCCCCATCTGAGCTTCAGTAACGAGCGTAGGCATTTGTTGATGAATGTCTGTAGTTTGTTGGAAATGCTTTCCGGGACAGGCCAAGTTTCTGAGCCATATAGCAGCACTGACTTGACATTAGTGTTGAAAATCCGGATGTTGTCCACGCTTTATGCTGAGTGCAGTAGATCTCCACACTGATTTCAGATTAGTGAAAGACTGTCTTGCTTTTCCGATCCTGGTTTTGACATCCTCGTTTGTGTCTACTGTAGTTGAAAAAATGCTGCTTAGGTAAGTAGGTGAAGGAGACTACTTCCTTTACGTTCTTCCCGTTAATGGTGATTGGTGCCTCTTATTGTTGATGTTGTTGTTGGTTGGATATCTTCATCACCTCTCTCTTCTCCACATTCACTTGAAGTCCCGTCTTCCTTCGCTGCCCTGCCTCTTCTGTCAACTTGTTAGTTTTCGCCTGTAGATCTTCGAGTTTGTGCGATATTGGACATAAATCATCATCGGTGAAATCCAAATCTCCTGGTGTCTTTTCATCGGTCCAGCGTATGCCCATCTTCTCGCTCATCACTGTTTGTTGCATGATCCAGTCGACCACAATCAGGAAACTCATCGGTGATAGTAGGCGGCAGCCTTGTCTTACTCCTGTCTTCAGTTCAAAGGCGTCACTGAGCTTTCCATTGTGGATCACTTGGCATGTGACGTCGTCATATAGCTGTTGAATGAGGTTGATAAAGGTTTGTGGCACTGAAACCGTAGTGTTGAAGCGGCTGCCTGCGAAATTACTTAGTCGACGCTGTCGAAAGCCTTCTCAAAGTCGATAAAGTTGAGGTAGAGAGTTGACTACCATTCTATACTCTGTTCTACGATGATGCGTAGCGTAGCGTTGCAATTTGTTCTTCCTGAAGCCAGCCTGATCCGGTTGTAATTTTGAATCCAACTCATCTTTTAGTCTTTCCGTGATGATGTGGCATAATATTTTGTTTGGGGTGGACAGCAGCAGGATTCTGCGCCAGTTCTTGCAAAGGCTTAGGTCTCCCTTCTAATAAACAGACTAAAATGGAATTACACTCGACCACAGTGCCTAAGTCTTACTCCCATATAGTATTATACGTTTCTGAAACTGTAGTTACAGGTGTTTCAGCTACTCACTGTTGTTTGAATGACACAGAAAATAAGTTTAGCTGAAACGTGTCTAACTTGACGGGGTTCAAAAAAGTAGTCACGATAGTCTATAACTTGAAACTAAGATAGGAAATTTAACAACCCATGATGGATGTTTATTTGATTATTGACTACTTGTTTGTAGATCTGATCATAACCCGTCTTAAATATATGTAATTGTTACTGAATAGTCTTCAAAGTGACAACTGATTGGTCTGTTTGGCTATCTGGCTGTCAAGCAGTAATTTTGCATGAGGGTAACAGTACAACATGGTTAACTCCCTCTCAGAAAAGCATATAAGTAAATGTGATTTGTTTTCATAACAGTTATGGAGTGATTGTTTAGGATACCAAAGTTGGCGTAAGCACTTTTTTATAAACAGCTAACTGGCTAGTGCTGAGTTTAGAATTCATTTCTTACATCTTAGCTTGGCAGTATTCACCGTATAACTAATGCAACTCAAACAAATGAATGAAGTCGTTTGACAACCATATGATTATGCTTTGGTGGTCAAGATAGCAAGGTGTGGTGGGCTTATGTTATCTGTCATGTCAATAGGTTAGTCTTAACTTGTCAAATAATGGTTTCAACTGTGATCGGACTTAATTATACCTCTACTTTAGCAGCTTTCATTCACTTTTATTTATTTGCTAACAAAATATGTTAATCACGAGCATCAGTCTAAGTGACATGGTTTTCTAGGTCACATACTCAAATACCCTTCAGAATTAGTGGAATTTCAGTGAAGTAGCAGCTTTGTTGACTACTATATACTCACTTTCCTATGACTCATTTAAATTCACAAAGTGGATCTACTTAGTCAACTGTCCCACTTTATCATGTGCCACTAAGTCCTAGCATTACAAATGACATGAAATGATGATCAGCAGACTCTTAGCTTAAGCTTTGTTTCAGAATCTAAACAGGTCAATCCGTTAAGCATTAAGAGTTCTCTCCTAATGAGTGAAAACCTATCGTATTTCCGACACATAGTCCGTCTTCATAAAGAATATACGGGTATGTAGCGAAATAAGATTGCTCCACTCAACTATATGAAATGGTCACTTCATTAGTTTTATCAGTTGGAATACCAAGTGTAAAATGAAATCACCGTTGTTTTTGAGATTATAGAAGTGTTGATCTTTTTTTCTTCATCTACGATTTGAATAGAAATTTTCAACATCCGTTGTTGGTTACTTTTCTAGTAAAGCAATAATATGATTCTGCTTTAAATTATTTCCCTCTGGCAATCAGTTAGTAATACAATATGTTAAATCTAAGTCTAATTTAAATGAATGCAACATTATTACTGCGTAGTTTGTTGAACTTCATTGATGTGTTAAAATCGTATTTATTTCCCATCAGTAGGTTATTGCATAATTGTCCGCAACTAGGGTATAGAAGTCATCCAACTAATATCTATCAGAGTGCACCGGGATGTTGTGTCAAATAGCCTGGTGGCTACATTGCAGAATGGTCGACACAGTTCAATCAGCACTTAGGACTAAACATCATGAAGTTGGTTACCCTCCGGTGACCAACCAATGTGCCTAATCCAGTTTTAAAGGAGGTCAGTCGCGGCCCGAATAGCTCAGTGGTAACGCCTCTGACTGCAGTACTGGGACATCAATCCCACCTTGGTTGCAGATACGCTTTGCTGATGACTGCTGAAGAGCACGAAACCTAGGTCCAGGGCTTCCTGCTGATTTCCTTCATCCAACTAATATAATTGATTTCTTGAATGATACGATATTTTTGGTTTATGTACATAATCGCTCATTTAACTTGCTTTTAAATAAACAGTCGCGTAGATATGTAGAATGCACTAATGATACTTTCAAGTGGCTTGTATACATCTGAGTTCACAGCTTATGTGTATTTGATACAATAATCTTTCTGTTACACGCAGGTTATGATTCTTAAGGGAAAACAATGGTAACAATTAAAACCAATCTAGAAGCTCTGAACACAAACTGTTCTTTTTATTCTTTTAATCATCCTTTTGCAGCTGTATTCAACGGTTCCTTCATTTTCTACAAGGCTTTTAAGTTCCTATGATTAGTGTCGTTATTTAAACTTCTTTTTACAGAGTTCTCTAGACATCATCAACTAAAGCCAGTTAGTCAGTGTCAACATCAGACTCGGCTTCATTGCATAATAGTCCAAGTTGAATGATGGGTTGTATACCGTGGTACACTTACATAATCATTTTTCCGAATTTTCTTTGAAGACAGATACTTTAGGTACTGTTCGACGTTAACATTTTGACTCAATGTCAGTTGAAAGTTGGTAGTATACCATTTGGTTGAATATTTCGATGAACGTGTCTAATAGTTACAGTTTACGTAGATTCATGTTTATAGTATGGTCTTATACAGCCATTATATTCAGTCCTAGTGATTGAATGAGTGAGTTTGAGCATAATTCTTCCATGTGCTACTACCAGTCAAGCATTGTGTGGCGAGTTAAACATACGAAGATAAGATATAACTGCAACCGGAAGACATCCACACTGCCTTTTCACAAATCCAGTATAAAAAGGCAGTCAATGGTGTTTGTTTCTTTCATATATTCAGCAACAGACATTGATTGAATTTTTCAGCTTTAAGCTAACCAAAATTGTCTAGTTTTTCAGTCTGTAATGTCAACCTGAAGACAGGTAAAGGTGTTAAATACAACTCTTGATTACATCATGATGTATATTTGCCTAAACTTTCATAATACTCCAATTTCAAAATCTGTTTATTGCAACAAGAAAAGTCGCTGGATTTTGTGTTCATGTTCTATAAGATAGGAGTTTTCAAATTACTTAAGAAAAGTAACCTGTCAGTGACCATTGGATGGGTGACTTTAAAAGCCATCTTAACAACTGTTGAGATAGCCAATTACGCTGCGCTTGTTTCATCACCTAGATCAACATAGGACCAGGCATTACTGCGCAACGGTTTAACTTCCCATGCACACCTCATATCAGCACATCAAGTAATAAGACAATAAAATAAAGATGAGGAAGGCAGGAGAAATCAGTCAAAAGAAGTAGGAGTAGAAAGTAATCAAAGTGAGTAAGGAAGAATGAGAACATGATGAGATTAAGTATAGCGTTAAGATGAGGATAATGCGTATACATCTGCTCCACTGACATCGATACTTAGCTATATCACCTAGAGTCTCAAACCACTGATTTCTCTTATCCAGCAGACCCCAACTGGCTTGTCTGCATTACTCGAACAGACAGTCAAAGACTTCATGCATTGATGTCATGTTTTACTCTGGCCGTCCTAACTTTTTTCCAACCTAAACCTACTTCACCCAACAATGTACGACGAGGTAGACGGTGGCTAGGTATACGTAACACATGTCCCAGCCATCTCAGTCGATGAAGGTTCACAACCACACTAACTGTCTTACCTCTCTTGCCTAAAACTCTACGCCTGACTTCTGCGTTACTCACATGGTGACACAAGAAACACGGCCTATGCTACGAAGGGAGCGGTGGTCAAACACCTGAAGCCTTCATATGTCTTCTACCTTTTATGGCCATGTTTTATAGCTATACAGTAGGACAGAGCGAGCTGCAGCACAGTACACTCCACCCTTGATAGACAGTCAAAACATTAAAACCTGATTGGTTACTTGGACATTTCCTAGAGTGGCTTTTAAGGTCACCCCTTTTGCGTCAGAGTGACATTATTTGTCCTGAAATATTCAGTATGTATCTACAATTGCGTTCAAGACGATTGACTTGTAATGCTTTCTTTTTATAGCCTTCGAACAAACCGATGATTAAACATGTCTGAGACTAGTAAATGGTTTTCTCAGTGCTTGTGTATAGTCGCGAATAGCTGATGCTGGGAAAAGTTTGAAATATTTTAACTCTAGGGTAAGTGGAGCTTTGGTGAGAACAGTTGAATGAACTACACTATCTCTTTGTTATTTCGTCATACAGGCAAAGCCCAATTGAGATGATGATATCATCTCTGCGAATTCGCCTGAGGTTAGGTTGGTTACAGGTAGGTGGCATGGTCAAGCCATAAATTATCTAGTCAACGTTATCTTGTGAATACCACGGTATTACTGTCATTTCAGATAACTAAACTAACTCACTGAGGAACACTAGAAAGTTCTTTTTTAATATTTTGTTATTATTCTTGTTTACTACGCTGGGATTACACAAGAAAAAGACACCTTATACTATATAACATGTAATTGTCTCCATTTTATTTTGTTTTTGAAGTACTAATGTGTATTCATGTGATGATAAAGTCGATGCTTGATTTGTATGTAAATTACTTGAGACTATAATCACACAACCAGACGTTTATTCCACCAACTGACTTAACACATTCCCCTAAATCACAGGATTAACACCTCATATCTGAAGAGTTCAAAACTATCCCACCAAAAAACACTCTATTCGATCCGACTGTGTTATCGTAATACTTATTCTTCATAAGTAGTGTGGTACTGAGCAGCGGTCAGTTACGCAGTACTTTCGTCTTTGTCTATGAACAGTGTTCACAAAGTGAATTACCGATGAGATTTGGCATACGTTTTCCCTAGATAATCATCACCGTTGCTATGTACTGATACTGTATAGAAAAGTTACCACCTATTTGTGTCGCTACAGTTTTATCATGTAACTAACAACACTAGTTATAATGATCAGCCGCAGGAATAAAACCTAGTAGTTTGGAAACTAATATGCTCACGACATAATTCTAGGGTGGTAACATGCGGTAATTGTGAGTGTTCAAGGCAGCAATGACCGAGCTGTCTAGCACCTTACCCTCAGTAGAGCGATAGCTGGATAGTTAATTTACACTATTTGTAATCACTAAGTCACATGTTGGAACCCCGACCCATATACTAAGGTTTTGTGAGTCGATTACTGTTATAGCTATACAACAACCTAATGCTTAAAAATGCCTGTGATTAACTAGGCATTCCATTGTAGCACCTCCTGATCTTTCAACATTCATTAAAGTGACATTAATTTTTTATAACGAGCATCGTTTTATCGTTTTTGATAGGAAATTAGCACATCATATTAAGGGACTATCAGCAAGATTATTTGCAGTCAAATTTTGGTAACAGGTTTTGTTTTATTTCGATGTAATGTTATATTTGTGACTGACACTCTCCCATGTCTCCACTCAGTTTTAATGTGGGGATTCTTGGCGATCACTTCATAGCTAACTAGTATTCTAAGGGTACGTATTGGCAGTTGATGTTTCCTACGCAAATACGAAACAAACTCTCCTTTTTATCGATTTTTATTCGTATTTGTGAATGTACCTCAACAATCGAAATAGCCCCATTAAATAATCAAAATTAATAAAAGACAATTCAGCGAAAAATTGTTTCTTTTCGACGCATCATTTTCAAAAGTTGTACATCGTAATCATAGTTATAACAAAAAATATATATTCGTCGATGGATAAAGGGTCAATACAAAGTCATTAAATATGACCAATAAAGCCAAAAGGTTATAACGGCCAGAAGGTCAAATCAACGTCATCAAAAATTACTTTTAGGATTATAGTAAACGAACACAGAAAAGAATAAACTGTCTTAAGGAGATTACGACCAAGGCAAAATTAGAGATTGAATATATCTTCTTTGAACATAATAGACCTCACGAAACATATTCTATTCAAACACATCCTCGAACACTATCCTTCATGGCTATCTAAATGACAGCTCGACTCCCGAGTACTTACTTATCTCCAGTCACTTTGCTCCACGAGATTCTTCTTTCAAAATCATATAAAGTGAAGTCAGAAATTTTCAAGGGAGTGGATATTCGCCACCTCAATACTGCAGAGTCTTTGGTAATCTATCACCACAAGCCTGCTCTTTATGTCCAAAAAAGATACATTCAATCTGTAATCTTGCCTTGGTCGTAATCTGCCTAAGACAATCTATTCAGTTCTGTGTTTATTCCCTATAATCCAATAGGCAATTTCCGATGACCTTGAGTTAACCTTTTGGCCGTTATCACCTATAGACCCTAATGACCGTCTTGATGACTTTGTATTAACCCACTGATGAATGATGAGTATACATTCTGTTGAAACTATGATTAAGATTGTACAGCTTTTGAAAATGATTCATCAAAAAGGAAATTTTTTTCGCTGAATCTATTTCATTTGGTGTATGCATACAAGTGTAATATTGTATCATTGTGTATACACTAAAATACTTATCTGTTTCTGATTTTAGAAATTAACAAGTTGCTCTTATCAATCTATCCTATAATAATCTCTCAAAACAAATGCATTCATTTGTTGATGAAAATAACAATAGTAAACAAAATTGGAGTCAAAATTCAGATTTATCACATGGATCAAATCTTTCATCAACAACAATTCAGTCAATTCCAGTGGAGAATAATCAACTTGTCGATATTGACGCAACTGTCAATGTTGTTGAACAACCGTTTAAGAAACCACGGTTAACTAATCTGGTAAGTTTATTATAGTTTGACTTTTTCTAGCCATTATAGTCACTGAAACTACTGTTTGCTTCAAGCTTTAATGACCTAATTATCAGATCCTATTGCACTTCAACCGAGGTGCACTGTCATGCTGTCTTCTCGCTTAGTGGCCACATTACCGAATGATTGATGGAGTTCAGGTAGGATATAAGACTAGACAACATGAAATTGGTTGCTCTCCATTGAACAAACTCTTTAATTATATTTAGAACTTTGTATCATTGCTTATGAAGAAGTGCGATCGCCGTAATATTATGGAAGTGGCTAACTCCATAGTGTGCACCATCGACTGACTGTATTCATGTTCGAACCAAGTTTAATGTTAAGTCCAGTGGTAAGCAGATTTCCATCCAACTAGTAATTCATCATATCTGAAATTTATATATTAAACTGGATATCCACCTATATGTATTCATGAGACAAAATTATTGATTTTCTGTTCTCAATTAACTCCTAAAGTCATCCCAACCACTACTGAAATAACCAGTTAGGTTTCTTTATTTCTGACTTGAAAGGTAGTCTGTTAGTAGATAGAGAAATCTGGCTGGCTATTTCATCAGTTGTTAGAATCCCTTTGAAAGTTACTGCTACACTCAAGATACAACTATCCCTAAAACTCAAAGTCAATGATTATCAAGAAGACTAGCGAACTGATTATATTTCATATTGTATCATCCAATGAAGTAAAATTGTTGCTTATGTAAAGTACTCTCAACTTAAATAGTTTAAAAGGATAAAAGTGAAAATTTAATAAAGTATAGGAATGTAGGACACTAGGCTGTCAATAAGTTCTTACTGTCCTGTTTACTATGAAAAGGTACAAATTATGTTCGGTGCCGCCTACATCATATTAAGCTGTTGTTGCTCGTAAGAAAAAATAATTAGCATGCTTGATAATATAAACAGATTTTATCAAGATTCATCACGTATTTGTCCCATTTCCTTTTTTGTTGTTTAACATTTCTGTCTTCATATAACCTTCACCAAACATACTTTATTCCATATTGTCATGCTGAGAAATGTGTCTCCAAAAGTAAAAGTTTGAGAACGAGTGCCCAGTGCTTAGGCACTGGTTCCAAACCAGTGGTATATGTATGGTCCTTGTAATCTTAAAGACACTAACGGCATGTAAACTTGTACTCATGACCAGCGACTACGAAAAAATATGGCTTATAACTTTGTTTCACTACTTTTTGGATTAAGCGCGTAAGTTGAAGGTTCTAGGATGCGTTTATCAGAACAACAGCTGGTTTCATTTAAGCTCTCGGACAGCCCTAATGCAATCTATGACACCTAGTATAGTATTACTTCATATGTTATTAGTGTATTTCTAGTTACTTTACAGTACCTCATTAGAGAACTATGTTTGTGTGTTTATATGAAGTCATTTAAAATATGTGTTAAACTTGCTGATAACTTGCCTAAAAGCAGGCAAACGAATTGCACTGTGAGATAAACGTTAATCATCGTCATCGATATACTTTGGGTAGGTGATGAAGTTGCAGACGTGTATTTAACAATTTGCTGAGGTTATGACAGGTGGTTATTACTAGCGAAAAGATTTAGAGCCCTTGTACCTAATCATTAGTAGAACCAATGAGTAAGTTGCACAATATTCATGTGTAAGATTATATTAAGTATGCTACGCACATCACTAGCCAAATCTATATACATCTATTGATTCAAATAGTAATCTCATGTTTTGCTTTTCTGGCTTTATCAAGCTACAACTGGGAAAGAGTTCAGGATGACCAGGTTAAATATGTGGTAGTGCATCAATAAATCTTCATTCTTAGTGTAATTGCTTGTTACTGCTAGCCACTGCCCATCATTACTAAATCTTCATTCTGTTTAAAAGCATAGCAGCTTGAATTGTTATACAACTTTATTCAGTTCTCAGTTTACTGAACTCAATTGAAATGAATCCTAACCCTTCTATTTTCATTCTTTTCCGCTATTCTCATCCGTTTTCTACTTTGAAACGAGGACTTAATCATTTTTTATATTGAATTCTATGGAATAGTTTGCCAATACACTATGTACTTTCATCACATGATTACAAGGGTATTCATGTGATTAATAATGAACTAGTTAAAATCCCAAAGTAGAACATTCTTGTTTTTCTAAACTTGTAATTCAGAAAAGTGGAAAACTCTCATGCATATTATATATATATATATATATATTCAAATCTAAAATAAATGTCACTAATTTTAATTTTTCTGCAATCTTTCCATCGTTAATTGCTCTCTTTCGTAGACCAGTCTAGATTCATCACCATCTAAACGAGGTAGACCTAGTTTATCAAATATTATTCCAATGATTAATAATCAAACTGTTGCTTCACCATTGGCTTCATCGTCGTCTTCTTATGCAAATTCGTCAGTTACGGTATGTCAAGAAGGTGTAGCAGCTGATTGTGGAGGTGAGCAGCGTCTAACACGTACTGTTTTGCTGGATGACGAAGAACCAGAAGAAGAAGATGATGATGAAGAAGAGGAAGATGACGACGATGAAGAGGAGGAGGATGAAGATGATGCTGGGACTGTACTTGGTGATGCAGACAGTGAATCTGTTGTTAGTGAAATTATATCTCCTGTACTACAACAAGAGAAAGAGGCAAGAAAAATTGAAGATCGTAAACTACTTGCTTTGTTAGCGCATTTTGATGAAGAACAACTAAATCGTTTTGAAACATTTCGAAGGGCTACCTTTGCCAAAGCTGCAGTAAGACGTGTAAGTTTCCACTTCTAGCCTACTACTATTCTTACAACTGTTTTTCTACCCATGATCCAAGTGGGATAGAACATGGATCTTGGTTAACTACTGACCAATGAACTAAAGATTAGGATCTATGTGTGGAAGTGGTTGCATTGAGTAAGCTGACTGTTTATTGCGCTTCGTCAATGTAGGTTATTCTAAATTAATTACACTAAGCACTCCTGGTGTGGAACTTCAGCTTATTGGTTTAGGCTGATGACTTTAGACCAACGGGTCACCGGTTTTAGCCTCTATCCGCCTACGGAGGTTTGAGAAGCCAGGTAGTATTACTCACGCTTATGTAGTAGGTATGGTTCATTGCCTACTACACGAATGTCCAGAAGGTTACTGAGTGCATTTGGTAAAGAGATTGCTTATTTGAGCAATACGAAACTGAATGTATCTTCCTATTTTGCTCCAACAAGTACGAAACCCACGTTCAAGGTTTCTTACTGATTGCCTTCGAATATATAACCATAATTCACTTGATTTAGACCAATTAGCCGTACACAAATATACCACATTATTAGATCTTACATTCATCGCACTTGTAGAAATACAATATAAGCTTATTTCCTTGTGAACTTGACATTTAGAATGTCTAGCATGATGATGATGATATAATCAGTTGACTTCATTTGGTACTAAATTCTATATTATGACATTCATTATAATCCAATACGATTGAATGACAAGGAATTAGTCACACGTTTTTTCAAATAACTGTTATGACAGCACCATAATAAGAATAAAAACTTTTGTGTCTTATATAAATCATAAAATAATTGTTTTCATCTATTTATCTTGGAAGAAGAAAGAATGAAAACAAACCTGCTGTTTGTCTTAAAATTAGTGTAGTAATTATTGAGACTTGGCAGGCTCGCCAACTGTAAATAACTCCAAAATAATATAAAACATTGAATCATAAATTATTATCTTTACTTTAAGTTGCTATCCTATCTGCATTAAAGTTTTAATGATATTGGTTAAACATTTGGTTTGTTTAAATAGTCTAATAAGTATAATGAATATATGTGTATACGTATTTGCATTTAAAATATATGAATAACATTGAACATGATATGATGTGTTCAATAGTCTGTGTTCTAACTAACCACACTTTCCGTGACTAACAGACAATTAACTACGTCTTAGATCGATTGCTTTTCTTTTGCTTTCACGTTCAAAATGAGAAAGTTGAGCTTTTTCAATTTTAGTTCTAATTAACTTAGTGATGTTGATAGATTACATATTGTTGGCGTTTTTTGAAGTTCACTTAAAATTGATGGTTCTGATGTGAAATTAATCTCTTAACTTTGAAGTAGGAAGTAAATTCATGCAATAAAAGTTAGATTTTATTCATTCAACACACCATTCTATGAATATACTGATTGGTTGATCAGCGTCACCACGGTTGAAGTGAAATGTGTAACACAATTACTAAGGATGAATTATAAAGATGTAAGTGTAAAGATTGCGGTCTACCTAATGAGATGTGATGATCAATCATTTTTATAACTGGAGTCATATAGCATAATGAGTGATTCTGAAGGGCACTATAGAAAACATAGAAATAACCATTTGCGTTTCTTTGTTTAGTGAACGGATAATCCTCATATTTAGTCATAGAACAAAGACATGACATCGAAGAAAATTTTCGTTTGCATGTTTTCATTCATTAACGCTGTATAATCGTATTTATAACCATTTTAAATAAATAATATAATGCTCAAGAGTAGAATAAAAACGTAACTTCTGAAAACAGAGCAAACATTAATACACCTTCCATGATAAAACTAATGAGTACACGTAATGTTTTTGAACACAATGATCAGGTTTAAACTTTCGAATTGGCAATGATTTGGCTATGTTTAAATGACACAGTCGAAAGCCTTTGCAACTGCAATAGAGCATTCTGTAAATTAGTTTGAAGGAACTACTAGAAGAAAATAGTTGTTCAAAATTAGGACTGTTGATACTTCTTCTATCTCCTTGGAGTAAACAGTTTCATAAGTGTTCCAAAGTACGTTTACTGACTTGGCTTTGTGTAAGGCCAATGTACTTTAACCTACAGAAACAAGTTAACTGGCAGATGAACACTGAGATGGCTAAAAGCAGTATACTGTGATTAAAGCATCAATAGATTAGTTGTCTATTGGAGAAGGTGATCCACAGACCGGCTGAATGAAATCTCTTCGTCAATGATATTGAGAGGCGATTTCCGAGGATTTCAGCTGCTTGTGACCTTTAAATTCTAAGTTCATATGGAGAGTTTTCCTCGAGACGGTAGATATCTTTTGTATTTTTGGCTTTTCTTTCATGTCAATGCCAATGAATCTAAGTAGATTTGCATTTTCTAGTTGGAAGTTTCCTAGAAATTTTAGCTTACTCTAGTGTATTCTCAGCACAGATCCTCCGCATCTTTGAAGCACAGAAGTACAAAAATGTGTTTGCCAATCAGAGGAACATAGCTTTGCTCACTCTAATTTCCTGTACAATATTCTCTAAATTCAATTATCTGATCCTCCAGGAATGCCTTGTAGAATAGATTATTGCAAAGTAAATAAAATTCGGTTATTTGGCAGCTCCTGGAAGGCTTTCTAGAGTCACTCGGTTTGACTGATGACTGCAAATCTACCTATAAGATATCAAGTGACGATAACCTCATTGATAAATATGACCACCGTTTGACTGGTTTTTCACAGCTGTGAGTCACGGAGAAGATGAAATATTGCAAAACCTTTTAACCAGTAGTCCACTGACTTACAAGTGATAAGTTTATGCATAGGCTTACCATGTCCACAAAGCATAGATTACGGATACACAGGAGCATCATTTAGGTTAGAATATATATATATATATATATATATATATATATATATATATATATATATATATATATATATATATATTACTGAACAATACAGCCTATTACGAATATTTACAATCTAAGAGAAGTATTCAAATACTGATTTTAAGCTCTTTCCACATATTTGTAACTAAGGCTACTTTCAATTCGATGAAAGTGTTATCCGATGTGTGATTGACTATGCTGGTCATCTTAGTAAAACATTACTTACCATTTACAATAAGTTTGGATACTAAATAAAAATCTTTGATTCCTGCTGAACATCGATCATTTACTGACTCAACAGGATTTTTCCTTCCTATATGTGTTACCTTTAACAGTGCCGCCATATTTCAGAAACTCAAAAGCTATAATGTTTCATGCTGTCCATCCGATTGATTTTAATATTCTACTTTTTTCTAATTGGTTGATAGTACGTATATTTAAACCCCAGGATTAGGAATGCTTTCTTCGCCTTAAATTTTCGGCACATTATTCGTTTTATGGACAGTAAATCAGGTTTGAACAATACAAGAACCAAGATGTATGTTGAATAAAATTAGCTCATTTTATTTCATGACCTTTCATAAGCTAAAAACAGCCTACAACTTAAGCTAATTATTAGTCGTAATAATGATATAGTCATGATTTAAATATATGAAAATAAATGGAGATTTGAAATCCAGGATTAACAATTACCGAATGAATCAATGAAATACGGGATTAATAACCACGAATCTTAGTCAAAATCATTGGCAACTTGTATCTGATGAGATAGAAAATTCTGAAGCTGTGGAAAGGCGGAAACAACAAATAGAAGTTTAAAAGAAGGAGTTGTTAAAAAGCCAGTAGGTTGCGTAATTATTTCTAAACATACTATGTCACTATTGCTACTAATACTCCACTTATAACTGTAGGCTGTTTGTAATTGATGAAAGGCCGTCAAATAAAGAGTTGATTTTATTCTGCAACCGTTTTTGTCCATGCATTGTTTAAATTTGTCAAGAGAACTAAACGTATGAAACACCAAATCACTTGTTTTTAGGTAATCATATTACTTATTGTTATTATTATTAAACACATTTATTCTAACAGTTTCCCTGTTCCTGATCAATAGCGATGAGAGTAGTTCACAACTTCTGAGTTACCGCCCAGGAGCACAAATGGTTTTCTTTGAATAGAAAAATGCTTACTTAGTTTTAAATGAAACTGCTAGTTTCCACCATCCATGAAACGACCAATCAGAAACGAGCGGAATGTTGGTTAATATTTCGACTTTCTGAGGCCTTAACATTTTGGCTTCGCTTTTTACTATAAGTACAGTAGTGCGAAATTTCCTCAGATATGAAGTTTTTTGGGGTGATCAATGAATACTAGTCTGAAGATGGTTTAGTGTCCTCTTAGCTTTAGTATTGAGTTGTGGACATTTCATCCTCAAGCCTAGTGACATCATCTTCATCCTGAGCTACAAATTCTCCCCATCATTACAAAATGTCTTTCTGCTGGTTTAAGAGCTGTTGTTTAGCTTTAAAATTATCAGCCTTATGGTCGACTGTTTTCTATTTAATTACGTGTTTAGGTTTCGGAAGCTAGAATTATCCTAAGGGCATTATGGTGCGCATACTGAAGCTCAATCAGTACCTGATATATGCCTCTCATTCTCGATTTCTTTTCGTTTTTGGGACAAAACGAACACATGATGAAGCCTTCAGAATTGGCGAAACACGTAAAATAATTGCATACAACATAAATTCTGGCTGTTGTATCAAACATCGCCTTTCATATCACCAAAAAGATTCTATCGGTCTAAAAGATCAGGGTTACTGAGTGGCTATGCCCTATTTATTCTGCACGATCTGTGTCAAGACCATTGTAATCAATACTATGTTCGGGTTACGCTGGCGAATCTGTACGTCAGTATGCAATAATAGATGCATACCGAAAATCCATTATTCACTTAGTTTAAACAAAGTAAAGGTATATTCTTAAAGAAACAAGTCAAGAGCGAAAATCAATTTTTCTATAAGATAAACTAGGTTTTTACACAAAAACAATTCAAATCAGCAATCATAAGTAGAATTATTTTTTGAATAAAATACCAACGAAATCTCAAGTGATCTTTTTGAAAAACATCGATAAACCATCAGTCAACCAGCAAAACTAAATTAATGAAATAAACGTTTTACTTGATCCAACTTGTTGATAGTTATTAACATTGAAATCGAAGAATGACATTCCCTTCTGTTGAGAAGTTTTCAATTGGGTTCTCCCGCATCCTTGTTGAAATTCACATTGAAACTGGAACCCAAGACTCTTCACTTTAAAGTTCAAAAGTGTCTTCATTTGCTTATGGATTTACAACTACCATAGCCTTCTTTTTAATGGTTTGAAATTCCAGTTCGAGATTAATGGTTCCCATTGTTGATTTACAGGAGTAAACATTCTGTTCGCATATAGTCTTCTTATATGGACGCCTGAATACTTCTTGTGATTAAATCTTGGTCATATTTAATTATTTAGAACTTCAAAACTTACTGGAATAGAAAACATTAACTTTTGTATCAAAGTCTTGTTTAATAAAATACTAAGTTGATGTCTCAACTTCGTGCCGATAAAGTACAAGCGTAATATAATCAGATGCCCCTAGAGAAAGACCGATTTGTTTCTTAGAGTGTGTTATAAAAGAAATACTTTGTATCCCTGACATTTTAAGTGAAAACAGATAACCGAGTAATTTCATCAAACCTAACATCAATTCCTTTAGTCCTAAACGAGCATCGATGACAGTTGAGAAGAAGCCTTTGTTTCTGCGTTTACAATTTCACGGAGACGCTTCAAGTGACATCCCATCGGAAAGCCTGGCAAGTCAATAAAATTTTTTATGCAGGTCATCTTTGTATATCTTTCAGTAGTCCACCAATGCTCAATCCAAGACTAGAGGATAGCCTACCTAATCTTAGTTCTTCATCTTGAATATATCAATGTAACTGTTCTAGTGGAAGAAGTTACAAAGGGTGTACGATTAGGTAGATACGTCTCCGAATACGGCAGAATATACCGGCTTCGTTCGAAAAGCTGAAGTGAAAGTGGTGACAAGTTCCATCCTAGCGCATCAAGTAAACACAGAGCAACACATAGATTCTAATAAAGCTTTCAGTGTCATACATCTTATTCCAAAAAGAATGACATGTGCAGCTTGCCATCGCCTGCTCAACATAGCTGAGATGGTCGCAACAAGACTAATCAAACCTGAACCATGCATTCAGAAAGTTCATGTTCAAACGTTATTCCTCCCTTGACCTTCATTAAACTAAAAACCACTCCTGTCTTCTTTATTTCTTTTCTTTTCGTCCACTAATACATTCTTCATTTGTACATATGTCATCATAAAACTGTCAAATTTCAAAGAGAAAAATCGACTTCCCCACAGTCTTTGAGTCTCACTCCATTATGAAAATGTATCTACTCTAACTTGGCTTGATTTCACGCTATACAAATGCATTTTATAATTGTAGAACCTGATGAGAATTTACTGAAAAGAATATTCTTCATTTAGACTGTTGCTTTTAATTAAGTTGATGTTTGATGAAATAAACACTAGGTTGGTTTAATCAAACTAACCTTTTCACTGTAACACAAACTTTTCTTTAAATCACTTTTAGTCATTTCCCTAAGCGTACACAAAGTTCATAATATTAGTCTACAATAGTTATAGTTCTTATGGCTGCGAAATAATTGATGAATCTTTTTCACATCCTAATAGTACTAAAGATTTGTTGCTACAACAGGTAGTTTTGGTAATGTTAGACTTCCTTATTTGATTAGTACAATTGTTAATTTTTCAATACTACTTTATGAAAATGTAATCATCATTTCCAGGCTCATTTTACTTGGATGTAAGCTACACTAACTTTGTAGATAACAAGTTTATAATCTAAGTGACTAAAAACCACTCTGACAACGACTGATGTAGCTAATCAGGTCTCTTGATTTCGACTAGAAATGCAGTTTTTCATGAAATAAACAAACATGGTTGGCTGCTTCAGTAGTTGTTAAGGTGACCTTTAACATCACTTCTAAAATCTTTCGTCAATCTTAACACAGCATCTGTACCCGTGAGCCATGGCTTCATTGTCATGCGTGCATGCTACTTGATTCGTTTTGTACAACAATGAGTATTTTCTCATTAGTACACCATATAACTCAAAGAATAAACCACCATTACGACATGTTTGATGTCACTTGTTTAGTTATTGATATCGCAAGCAGTTAACTTGATATTAACTTGAAGATAATTAAATAGGTGCGTAGATACTACTTAGAAGATGCCTTTTGAGCCATCATTTGGTGTTTGGGTACACTGACGTTGAGCTAGTAAACAGTTCGAATACTTTAGCTGAAAACTGTTAACATCAGTATTAAAGCAGTCAGGTAAGGTACTATACTAAGCTAACTGCACCAACTTAATATCCTTTTGAAACTAAACCACCTTGCCATGTAAAATCTATCATCTCAAATGTCTTCATATCTTAAGTTTTGCTTGGAAAACTGGTAACACGACAATGTTTTCTTGACTCATACTAGTTAGGCGAAATAGGACCGTTAAGTTTAGCAAAATTCATTATTTAAAAGTAATAATGCATCCTAGCAACATCATACAGCTTTATATAGTCTGCTGTGGGTCACATATATTTTATGGTTGGGGAACTCATGGTACTATCTAATTGGCCAGATAGACAACATTTCAACCTACAACTTAGTGAATGACATTCAAATACCTTAACTACTTTTCTGTAGCTCACTTCCTGAAACACACTTTCCAGCTGCTAATTATATTGCTAAGTAGGGAATCTTTTTTTAAATTTACCGTCCTACCTTTTTTAAGCCTCCAATATATAAACAGTCAGAAAGGATCAATAACCCTCAACTTCGCTAGAAGTACTCCAAAGCTTCTTACTCGTCATTAGCACTTTCCCAACTTTCTCTTCAAAATGTTTTAATTCTTCCTCACTACCCAGTCCCAGGTTCACAGTTAATGCTAACGTCTTCAATTTGTGAAACAATAGCTCTGTTTTGTTGAAGTAACGCCTCAAGCCACATTTTCAGTTTTATAATATCCTCATCGTATTTTGAATTTATAGCGATAAGTCCTTCAGAAAATTAAGTTTTCACAGGAGTTAGTATGATAGGAAGACATGCGAATTGTACTTTTGAAATCCTCACCAAGCCTTTTCATGATATCCAGTTTACTTTAACAAAACAGCAGTGAATTAGGTGCATTGATAAGTTTCATTCTATGAACGCATTTTGTTGAAAGAAGCTAGCAAAGTGTTCAGACCCACTGACCACTGCAACTTCTCGAAGAGTGGAATTTGCCTGTATGAGTTGGTTGCTGATGAAATCTCGATGAGGACGCAAAACGCCTGACTAACTTTATCCAGTTTACGCTGCTTACTGTACATATAAGATATAGAAGTAGTTATTAGATGTAGAATATACTGTCTCATCATGTAGCTCTGAAACATGGTCGTCGGTGGCTGATGAGGTGTGGAAGTTACAGATACTTTATCAGGGACATCATCAAAGGATCGTTTGGGTCCACTGGAACCACCAGGTGAGAAGTATTTATATGACGCTGAGGTAAAAGCAATAAATCGATCAATGTAGTTATAGAACTTTACTAAATGAGATGGATCGTATGTGCATAGCTAATACGTACCTCAGTGCTTTATGAAACTGCACCAGAAGCTGGATAGAATGTAAAAGCCGTACTATAGTTATGCTAAGGTGTGGTACTAATCCTTGAATTTTCTGACTGTTGGTCAGAGTTGAGTTAGGAATTACAAGCTTCCTTTATAAAGTCAGTGATGCGATTGAAATCTGCGCCACTGAAGCACATTTTGAAATGTAAAGTCTTAAGTTTCCAATATCGAAGTCCCATTTCCTCTTAGACCATAGTCAGCCAGCCAACAATTCTGTGCATGAATTAGTGGTATGATTTGTGTTGACCATCTATTCTATCACACTTTTATTCTGCCTCCGTAGAACACTAAGATAAGTGACTGGTATGAGTATACAATCTTACTGTTTGTTGATATACTTGTAATTCTCCTTTGATATACTGGATCGAAAGGTCCGACCTCTGTTGGCATATGGACTCCTAGGCAGATGCCTCGTTATTACCTGGATATTTAACATGGTAATTTACTTGGTTGTTGCTAGCAGAGGGATCCATGATGCGCATTTCGTCCTATCTGTGACTCGTCAGCTGTATGTACGTGCACCCCAGTTAGTGGTGTTGTTCTCACTGGGACTCAGACCCAGTACCCATCACTCCAAACACCAAGGCGTTATCCATAAGCCACTGAGGCACAATAATGACGTGTACGAGGTTCGAGTCTCAGTGGGGACAGCATCACTCACTGAGGTGCAGGTACATCCAGCTGACGAGTTACAAATAGGACGAAAAGCGCGTCGTGGATTCCTCTGCTAGCCACAGCCAAGTAAATCGGTATACAGTCTGTTTGCTTTAGCATTCAAGCTCACTCATAAATTTATTTTATCAATTTATTGAATCTCGCATACCACTTATATAAGTACAAGCACGCTTCCGTGATGATCACGTTCATTGCATCCTTCCAAAAACCGTCTGAATAAAACCTGCATTATTGTCTTACAGCCTACAACCAAGTGTAGATTATAATATTATCGGTTGATATTTGTAAATCAATGTCTGAATCAAAAGTCTTATTAAGCATTTATCTCTATTATTCTTTGTAAAAAATCTTCTCTTTAACTCTCATATACAGCTGGTACAATCGGTCACCTCATCTTCAGTTTCACAAAATGTGGTTATCGCTATGGCTGGTTTAACTAAAGTTTTTATTGGTGAGCTAGTTGAAGAAGGTGAGTATATACTATTTTTGTATATGGTGGAAACCTTTACGCATGTATTGTGTGTCTGACAAACTATTACGAAGCGCTCTGACAATGAAAATTTTGTAGGTTTGATCATTCAAATTATTATGTTTTAGACAGATGGATACAAATCGATGTTATAGCTTGTGGATCTGCGTCGTTGGTTGGACAGAATGGATCCGTCACTATCGGCATATTGGTTCGAATGCCAATGCCTCGAAATTACCGGGAATTTCGATTTTGATATTAGTGGTGGGTAATGGAACCCAGATGCACGTTGCGTTCTATTTAGGACTCGTCAACTGGATGTATTTACCGTCAGTGAGTGATATTGTTCCCACTTAGACTGAAATCCAGGGCTAATGGATTCAAACGCCAAAGCCTTATCCACTAGGCCACTGCGTCACAATAGGCATTCCTTGCGCGACGGGTACAGTATAGTACGTATCGAACTGTTGGAAGAGACTGACATCTTCTTTTGGCTTCTAGCTTTTTTCGACTCAGGGAATCTTACGAATTAGTTCCTAATGTATCCATCACTGTCTAATTGCTCATCACTGAATGAAGTCTGTCTATCAAGTTTGTACCGTGGTCATTAATGTAAGGGTCATGTTCTGTTAGATCACAAGTCACAACACAATAAGTATTTCAAACCACCCAGTCCATTGTTGGTCAGGATACCTTCAAACTTATTTCAAGGTCGTTCGATTTTCCTCAAAGGTGAGTAAATGTAGCTATTTTTATTTTCACTCCATTTTGTGTGAATAACCAATCAACAAATAGTAAAAGGCTAGTGTTGTGGTATGAACCATAGGACTTAAATATGTGTGTCAACAGTAATGTGTAGCCGTAAACTGATCTGTATTTCAGCTTGAATATGTTTGTGTGCCCAAATCTTATGTGTACATCCACAGATTTGTTCAAGTCAGTAGTGAGTATTGTTGTTTTGCTGCAAATAGGAAGTTGTTGATATCGTCGGATTAAAAAAACTTGTGAATATTCTTATCATCTATCATTATTACTCATACGGCTTGAACTGCTGAATTTTTATCAATATACAGTAGCATCATGCAAATACTCCAGTTCCGCGGGTCTACATGTACGCCTTACCAGTGAATGTTCAAAAGCACAAAACCCAGATTGAAAGCTTTCTGTTTGTTGAAGCTTAACATCGAAAATTATTAACCCATCTGGTGTACAGTCCAGTGGATTTAACGCTGTATTTGAGGTATAATTACGTATCTATTCAGTGATATGGATGGTGACCCATGGGGTTCACCAAACCTGGTGTAGGGATCGATACTAACGGCATTAGTTAGTGAATACTCTATAATCAACAATTGACAGGATTGGAGAAGGATGGGCTATTTTATTTCAAACTAATAACTGAAAGGCGACTTGTTCATTGTCTTTGTTCTACATGGATTTCTAGGGGAGCACCGCTGAGGAGTCGTGAACTAAGACGAAACAGCTGTACAGTACTTCCTTAGTTCCATTGTTTTCTGTAGCTGATTTGCATATATGAAGAAAACTACTTTGGACTGACATAAGAGTAAGACTTGTGGTAAAAGTATGGTAGATTGTAGTTCCCTCTTAGTCTGTCTATTAGATTTGTATTATTTACTGAGTCTTAAAGAGCAAGAAAACAATGTGCATACCATCTCGTTAATTACCTCCTATCATAAAGCATCATGAAAAGACATTAAGTTCAACTTTTTTATATTTAAAACTGGATAATCACAAGTTTGGATAGTGTTTCGAGTACTTCTCCTTGGGCAAAGATCTATCATCGTCAAGTTTCACGAGTGAAATATCGCCGATCATCTTGAACATGACCATAATATTCTCCCATCTCAGTCGGTACTGAGTATGTTCTTTTTGAGGCTACCATAAGAATAGGTAGGTGTTTAGCGTTTTGAGAATAAATCATGCTTCACAGAGTTAACCATGTGTTAACAAGTTAATGGAATATCTACTTTGTTGCCAATGCTTTTTATGTATCCATCTTATCATGATCTCAAATGAATCGGTATGTTGCATTTCTCTCATATTTTACCATTTTCCTCTCATTTATAGCCTTAAGTTATAAAGAACGATTAGGTGAAAGTGGACCATTAAAACCGAAACACATAAGAGAAGCTCATCGTATATTATCCGAAGAGGGGAGATGTTGTACAGAAGCTCCTGAAAATCCTCTTTTATAATATATATATATATATATATATATATATATATATATATATATATATATATATATATATATATATATATATATATATAGGTAAATGCTCCTCTTCTTGCATCTCACTGTATTGATTTGCTTACTAAGCATCCTTATGAAAGTTATCAAAATACAAAATAATTTTTGCATTGATATCTATTTTACTAACACAAGAATAGAACTTGGGAACTGTGGTAGCGTCTAACTTGATATTAGTTTTTACACTGGATGTGACACTGATACAGAAGTATTTGCCGAATGGCATCTCAGACATAGTTCTTTCCCATATTTATATTAAAGTAATCATGCAACTTCGTTTTTATGACTGACTAACTGACAAAACCAAAGTAGAACCTGACACACACGTGCATTGGCCCAAGTTGTCACACTTCACAATAGTACACAAAGAACAGGTGGATGAAAAGATAGTGATATAAAAGAAAATAAAGTAGTATGATAGAATACACAATTAGAAGATTAAGGTTATTGTGGGTATTCAAGCTTAAGAAGATGTCAAGGAGTGAATATACATTTACACCTTCGTGGCCCATTTCCGGCCATTTTAACAAGAATCCGCAACCACTGATCCTTTCGTCTCGGGGACCCCAGCCAGGGAGTCTACACCTCCCTACATAGCCGAGGCCAACAGTAAGAGATTTCATCGACTGACGCCTGGTCTTGGTCTGGCCACTTTGCACCTCCTTCAAACCTAATTCAACTACCCCTAGCATGACATGTCGTGGTAGGTGGAGGCTCAGCTTGCTCAGTACATATTCAAACCATCTCAGTCGACTAAAGTTCACAACCTCATTATAATCTAACATCAACTTGTTCTGTTAATTCTAGGGGTAGTGCAATTCTTCGAATTTCTTGACTAGGTGCCAAGTTAGTCGTGTTGCAGCATACATAAGGAGAACAAATATTCAGCAGTCAGTTAGTGCGTAGCAACAGTCGACTTATTTTTGGATAACTTTATAGAGTTCCTCGTTTTATATTTTTCGTAGTTCATATGCTCATATATATTGACTGACTCGTAGTCTGTTACGACCTGTATATTTTACATCATAATCACTGCATAATATTTGATTAAATTACTTTATTGAAGCGAACTTAGAGCATTCTTTAACCGAGAGGCTTTCTATCTGAAAGTTTGGGGAATGAAACGTCAACCAAACACGCTGTTAAGGTTTTCACACGGAATTTTGGTTGTCTAATGGTAATCATTTATCAAGATATTGTAATTTACTTGGTGGCTGGCGGTGGAATCCAAAACGCGCTTTCCGTCCTATTTGCGGCTCGTCAGCTGGATTTATCTGCACCGTAGTGGGATATGGTTTTCCTACTGAGACTCGAACCCAGTGCCCATCGCTTCAAATACCAAAAGCGTTACCCATCAGGCCACTGAGACACGAGAGCCATGTCTTATAAAACGGGTATCAGTTATCATTCATTGTTACTTTTATATTCCGTTGTTATACTGGATCGAATAGTTCGACCTCTATTGGCAGATGGGATATAAATATTATTCACGAGTCACAAATGGTCAAGTTATAGGTCTGCTTGTATTAGCCTTGTAACTTGCATGCAATACCATCTTTTGCTTGATATTTGTACTGTACCCGTTATATTGCGTCCTATTCAAACACTAGTTTTGCAGTTCATTATATATATGACTCGTAGACTGACGTTTAGCTAACTCGTTGTTACTGAGTCCTACTTATTTTTACATTAATATTTGATTGTTGAGAAGTAGATTGAAAAGTGGAGAAGTATAGTAGATAGTCGTGAGAACATGTGATGCAAGAGGATAGTTTTAATGAACTGCACCATGTAGTCATTAATTCTTTATTGTCATGTCAAGTGGAATCAGGACAAAGATAAGAAAGAAGTGAGACAGAAAGATTTGATTGGTTGTTCCCAGGAGTTGGTGTTTAAGTACTAGCTTAGGTATTTTGATGATTGACCTTGTTACTGTTTTTCAATTTTTCACTGCACATAATAAACTGAGTTTACAGAGTTACGTCTACTGGTGGCTGAGTGACCTGAATGTTAGGCTTGTAAAAATCTGCTCACCAATCAAATAGCTTCATGTTTTTCAAATACAGGCAGCTTTTGTTGACCACTAAACTAGGAAAATGAGAGGATATTTGAAACTACAAAGACAAGGCTCGAATTACTTGTAAAGTTCCTATTTCAAATCAGTTAAAATAATGAATTTATTGCATAGACCTTCATTGTTCAGTGCTATCACAGTTAACAAAGGTGTAAGAACAGTAAGATGCATCATAAATCAGTCTTCTGATTCCTACGTATTCGTAGACTATTGTGAAACTGTCGAAAATCACGAAAAACCTCTTAGTTACTTTTATATGCTCTTGGATAAAAAAAACACTACTTACATTGCTAAGCTATCGTATACAATTATTACAGGTGATTGATCAACAGTGCCATAAGAGAGAATAGTTCGTGTATAGTGGAACCACTTAGAGAACAGTGTTGGCGTAAGAGGTGCAGTTGCAGACAAAGTAGGCAAGTCAGTCGGTAGGGGTGTGAAATCGAACGGTTTGAGGTGGTTGGCTTTTGTTGTATGCTTGGCCTACTACTTCACACCTCAACCCACCATAAAATTCAGTATAGGCGTAGAAGGTAGTTGAAGAACTCTCAGGCTAATCATACGAAAGCATGGCATTAGTTCGGAAAGTCTATTATTATTTGTTAATGTCATGTAGAGGACCACAGTCCTGCTTTTTTTGTCTACGAAACAGCTGAAAGCAATGATTACAGACTTTGCGGGATATCGTTCAGACTCACAATATGAAATGTAAACAGTTTGCTCTTAAAAAGCTTTTGTTACCTCAGTGTATTTTTTCTTCTACCTTCTGGTTTTTCCTTAGACTATTGATGCCAAGGCTTACATTTCTTCTCTTTCGTCTTACTGAATACTCCTCATAGCTTGGATGTGAAGTACGACATCTTGGATCTAAAGATACGTACCTACACCATACTCTAGTTTCTTTATATCTGTCTATGTTGCTTGGCTGGTTGTTAGCTTAACCTAACGAGTTTTTGACCACAAGCGAGACTTCAGTGGAAAAAATATGATTACAATTCCCATTTTGAATTCTGCATTCCGTTAATACCTACCTGTATTGTATTTTTCTTTATACCAGTTAGTGGTCTCAAGAAATTGCATCCGAAGAGGAAAGGTGAATTTAATTTAAAGTTTGTATTTTCACACTGACATGTAATAAAAGCTTGTGAAATGTGATACTTAGATACGCGCCGCGCAGCATACAATGATAAGTGCCACTAAGCCTCCTGTATGCATAATCTTAAGATATCCAGCGAAAAGTAACCGGCATTACTGTAATATCTTACACTTTTATTTGAGAAGTCTTGACTCAGCAGCCGGTGTGAGTAAGATCACGCGATAGTAATGCGTCATGAATTCACATGGTAGTCAAGCGAAACCCTTGATGATTGAAGAGAAATAAAAATCTGATCAGGTGTTGGGTTTCGTAGCTCATTTGCTAGAGCACCAGGCCAGAAACCTGGCGGTCGCTGGTTCGAATCCGACCGAACTTGTTATCAATACTAGGCTGATAAACCACGGCTATCTCAGGTAGTCAAAATGAGAATAAACTTCGATAAAAACAATTCTTCTCATGTCATAAAAATTATTAGAAGGTGCAATAGAGGAAGCCATTAGTTCAGTCTTTTTATTTCTCAAAGAGGTCTCACTGTTTATATGATCTATCAAAAAATTTGTTTTGCAGCTGTCGAAGTATGATTGTTCACGTAATTCCTTTCACTTATTTTTCGTTATTGACAGCTATTTAAACACGCACCTGATACTAACGAACAAAACATGCTTATGGCGGTCATTTATAATCACAGAACAGATGTCTATACTTGCGACTGATATGTTTGATAAGTAAAATAACTTCAAAAACCACTTTTTTCGACGAAGCGCTTACCATATAGAAAAAAATGAGTACACTCATCAGAATACTTTTGTGACTACTTTTAAACAAATCAGTAGTATGTCTCCAAGACGAATTTTGCAGTATCTTTCACATCAACTACTTTGCATTGCAATTACACCAAGATGGCTACTTAGAAGTATCTAATTGACTAATTTAGGTGTTACAGGATAAATCTTCTTGTTTTTTTTCTAAATAACGGAGCTAGAAAACACTTTTTTATGCATATCAAGAAACGACAGTCTATTGAGCTAGAAAACAGGAAACCGATGTGGGTAGTTGGTGTTGCGGCAATGAGTTGACGCATAAACTATTCAGTCATGGAGCAGAATCAAACCGTCAGTGACTGAAATCACTGAGTCTAATTCTGTTCATCGGTTGGGTATTTTGCCCTGGCCGGCAACTTAAATACCATATTTTCTCAAAGCTACAATCATTCTGTCAAGGCAGCTAGACAGTTTCGTTAAAATTCTCCACATCTTCGCAATATCATAACTCTATGACAGTTTACGTGAGGAGCGAAAAGATGGGAATACGCTGGACCAATGAAAAAACCCCAGAATATTTGGATTTCGCCGATGATGATTTATGTCTAATGTCTTATCGCACAAACTCGAAGATCTGCAGGCAAAAACCAACAAGTTGGCAGAAGAGGCAAGGCAGCGAAGGAAGATGGGACTTCAGGTGAACATAGAGAAGACAGAGGGGGTGAAGACACCCAACAACAACGAAAAAAACAAGCATCAGTTACCATCAACGGGAGAAATCTGAAGGAAGTAGTATCTTTCACCTAACTAGGCAGCATCTTTTCAACTACAGGCGGCGTCACAGGCACGGATGAGGATATCAAAGTCAGGATTGGAAATTTGGAATCAGTGTGGAGATCTACTGCACTCAACATAAAGCGTGGACAAGATCTGGATTTTCAACACTAATATCAGTCCAGTCAGTGTTTCTATGTGATGGTTGAGAGACTTGGCGCGTTACAAAAGCACTTCCA